GTTCTCACCAACTTCCTAAGGAAAGTTTACATGCTCTTAGAAGGCAGTCATGGGTAGGTGCTCTTCAGGACAAGGCATGACCACTCTGGATTGCTCTGAATCACTCTTCCCTTCGTTAAGCTGGACCCAGCAGAAGGGTCACTGCCCAATTTTAGTTAATGCACGTACAGAAAAATATAGTTATTAATTAAAATACAGTTGTCAATTCACACCACCTTACAGAAATAAGATTTTGGGAGTGGTGGGAGAATAGTACACGTGTAGAACTTAAATTGTACTTGCCCCTCGAGCCTGAGCAGGACTGAGATTTATCTGCAGACGTTGCAGTGCAGTCTCCTGGCAGTGCTATCTCCTACACCAAAGCAAGCCAGACAGCACTGGTGTCTGCCTAACCTACACTGGAGTTATGCACAGAGGGAGTTGTGCTACTACTAGCTGGAACACAGAACAGGTAAAGAAGATGCTTTAATAGCAAAAAGATGCCAGGCAACAGCTCCATCTTGCAGTTTTCATTAAAGCTATGAATGGACTGACTTATCACAGGAACAAGTAACACGGAGCTCATCGGACCTCATATCAAACTGACCTCTGCAGTCAAAGTTTCCTTTTTAGGCCACACAGATTCCAAGACAAACAAATTAGTTATTCACTCTATTTCACCTTGCTAAAGCAACAGTGGGACTAGCACCCAAGGATAAATCCAGTACTCCATGGTGACATAATACCTTTTTTATTACAAGATCCAAAAAACTGAGTATGCAAGATTTTGAGATCTCACGATCCCTTCTTCAATCTCAGGAATGTGCCATCTAAAGACTGTATATTTAAACCATAAAGAAGTTTAAATGTAAAGAAAAAGAGAAAAATGCATTTTCTTCATAAACATTCTGTGTGTCTCTTCCTACCAGCCACGCCATCCTCTGTAAAACCCAAAGATTTCTTCCTGTAAAGCAAATATATATATAGTGTTGGTAGCCCGCCCCACCCTGTCCCAAGATCAGTTTTTATTAATCCTCTGTATTAGTGTCAACAATCAGCTACAGATACATATTACTTTGAGAATTAAATACATAATCGTTTAATTCAAACAAGCAGAAGGGCAAGAGGAAAAAGCATTATGTGGATGGCACATTTGGTTGCAGATTACCAAAAAACATTCAGCCTTTACAATTCAATGATTCTTTCTCTAGTAATCGACTTTCAAATAAAATTTCTCTTTGTTGCAATTACAGACCAAAATACACTAGATAGTTTTCTTTTTTTTACTACAATCTTACCATAGTAGTTTAAGAAGTACTATTACAAAATGCTTTTAATTAGTGTACTCTTTACAAAGAGTCAGAGAGGCAATGTAATAGCAGAGTACAGTGTAAAGAGTGCTTCTAGGAACTAGGAGGTTTTGTAATATACTACTCGGTAAGCGATATAGCTACAGAACTCACAGCCACAACTGTCACGTCTACTCTCTGTCACTTCAGCAGCTGCAGCTTCAGTGCATTCAAACTGTGCCCGGTGCCTCTGAACGGAGAGCTGGGCCTGGGTAGAGCAGTCTGAGCAGATGGACGCTGGTTGGAACTGAAAACCCCCCTCCTTGATCTGAGCTAACTATGTAAACGGACGCAGGAGAGGGGAGCTCTGAACTCGGCCCGGAGGGTGAGTGCTCACCACGGCCACCCAAGGGAAACTCTCAACCTGAAGAGAGGTGGTCGGGGAGTAACAGAACTGGAACGCAAAAAGAGACCAAAAAAAAGAAAAAAAAGGAAAAAAAAAACAAAAAAAAAGGACAAACAGCAACCAACAGAGCAAACACTTTAGAAAGAGCCTATTCCTTAAGCCTGCTTCCAATATTGCTCTGCTCTATAAAAGTGAATTTAGGACCTAAGGCTTGGAAGTTGTAAGAGGCCCAGGCGGCCAAGTCCATCTCCAACGTCACTGAAGTGCTTTCACAAGATATAGCTTTTCCCCGTGTTCACTGGTGAAGATGGGAGCCTTTTTGTAGTGTTCCACCAACTCATCCATAGTATTAAAGCGACGCTGCCCAATACAATAGACATTGTCCACGAGCTGCACCTTGAAATGTTTGTTCTTCCCCGATGCCTTTAGAGATACCGAGAAGTCACTGGGCTGTTGAGAAGAATTCAAAAAGAAAAAAGAAGAAAAAAAAAAAATTACATAAAAGTGAGCAAAATGAAGGCATAATTTTGTGGTTTCAGGAACAAACCGTGTCATACAGTTGATGGTAATTTATGCTAGTCTTTGTTCCACAGCTCGGTGCCTTAGCTACTTAAGAAACCCAATAGTCTATTATTCAATAAATAATTGCCATCATTATTAACGTGCACAGTTAAGTCAGTTACATGAAAGCTCCCCAGATGCACAGTCTGAAGTTGCCAATTACATGACTAAATGGCAAATATTATCTTAGTTACTCAATCTAGAAGCACAAGAATGTCGAGGAGAAGGGAAAAAACTCTCATCATGTCTTGTTTCCTTGCTAGAGAGTCCTGGAGAAAGCAATTTTTGCAATATGGGGTGGGTGAGATGAAGAAAATTCCCCTATCACTTTTTTTTAGAGCCATGACCACTAGAGGGCTGTTCTTGCTTTGCATTCTAAAGACAAAAAAAATTCTCCTTTTATCTTCATTACCAAATGTATGGGGAATAATTTCTCCTACTGAGTACACCTTTTTTTTGTTAAAAATGATAAAGCTATAGAATAAAAACACAGCACAAAATCCCACCGTCACACCATCGCCCACAAAAGAAAATTTATGCACTAATTATGTTATTCAGGGCAGAACAATTTCACATGATAAATCTCTTCGTTTTGGCAATCGGTTGCTTTAATGAAGACAGCTCTGTCATCCAAAGAGCCAGGATGAGACCATTCCACCTTCTGCAGCCCATGCCACCACAGGAGGGTAGAAAGGACACACTGTCCCCCCTGCCAGCCGAACTCCATCTCTGTTCATCGACCATTGCTGGCTGTAGAGGTGGGAGTTTGGGCTTTGCTCCACAAGAGGTGGCTGCAGGCAGGTGTTGCCAGCCAGCAGGAAAAGGGAGCAATAAAAAACAAAGAGCACACACCAGAGTTTGCAGCAAGCACTTCATGGAGATGTGTAATGCCTGAGGCGACTCTGGAGGTCCTGCTGCAGGGTCTCTGCCCACTGAAGGCACCTGTCAGACTCCAGCCTTGCTGCGGTCCCTGGGTCCTCCCCTGGGCTGGGCCAGGCTCCATACCTCCCACAGGGGACAGGCTGCTTCCCAGCACTGCCTCACAAACAGCCCCAGAGCAGCACAGGGCCGAGCCGGGGGGAGCAGAGCCCTGGGACAGGGCTGCTGTCACCAGACCTGGGGCTGTGACACCACAGCCTCCTCTCGAGCCCCCTGCGCCGCGTTCTGGGGGTCAGGCACACGCCCAGAACATGCTGGAGGGAGATGAGGGACAGCATCTGCCCAGGCACGCTGCCTTGCTTCCTGCACTCACGTGGGTCTCTGCCCCAGACATCCCCCATGCTCTGCCCATCCCAAAATCTCACCCCTCGCATCCCCCCCTCTCCTGTTTCAGTACTGATGCCTTCTCTGCCTTCCCTGCTGCCTCCCTCTGTCCTGCCTGGAGCAAACAAAGCTCCTGCTGTGCCTGTTCCTCTGGCTCTGGCCCAACTCCCCAGCCTGCACCTCAGCTTTGGGCAACAGTCCTTCCTCTCCTGCACTGCTCGAGCCAGTAGCTAGCTTCCCACACCTCTGGACTAACCCTCTTCTACCTCAAACCACTACACTCCATCTCCATAAACACTTCTTTAAAAATTATTTCACGTAACACACACAGAAGAATTGCTTCTTCCATAACCCAGTGTCAGCAGGCCTTGGCTCCATCAGGAAGGCTGCCTCAGGCATTGAGCAGCTCCAAAGCCACTGGCTCAAAATACTTGCAACACCCTTCAGGACTGCCAAGAGGAGACGAGTGGGGAAGGTGGAGGAAAGGGATGGAAAGAAACGTGCATATATCTGGGGCTTCCAGTGCTCCGCCCAAGATACATTTTGTGGCCTGTCACCCATCCCTAGCTTCAGGTTTGATAACTGCAATTCCAAGCCAGCTAACTCTGAGTGAAACCCCTGCCTGAGGAGCACTGCAAACAAGGCTGCAGAGAGCCCACACCGAGCCTGACCTGTCCTGCTGGGTTGAAGCTCACCTGGTTGCACCAACACCGTGCTGTGGTTAAGACCCTGAACGCAGCGTGGCCAAACCCCGTGGCAGCCACAGCCACACAGGCCTAGGATGTTTCAATGGACAGTAACCCAAATGCCCTCATTTGAAATAGAAGAGCTTACAAATGGGAAGTTCAGAATCTGAACCAAGCATTTTTTTTGTTTGTTTTAGGAACAGGAAAAGATGTTATGACACAGGTTTAAAAATACATGAAATAACAAATTTTTAATGTTTTCTGACAAAGCATAGTTGTTCTTAGCATGGAAAAATCAGAAGAATTAGAAAATTAGAAGAAAAATCAGAATCATTACCACATCCTTTCTGGTCTAAAGATAACAACACACAGAGAGGTGCTGGAATAGGTCTGCGACCTTTGATCCACTATCCTGTGTCCCAGGCACTGGCCCAACTTAGATCTTCGTGCAGTGATCTACATAATACATTAAATACTTTTCCTGGCATTTTCATCATAACTTTAATGAATGAAAATTCTCCTGAACTATTATCCAGTCTTCCTAACCTCAGAGCTGCTAATTAGATAGATGCATAAATAGAAGGCATTATATAATGTCTTATTTTCTCCAGAATGTGTTACAAAGTTTACAAAGATCTTTTCGTGATCTGATTTCATTTTTTTTTAGGGAGAAAGAAGGCGGAAGGGCTGCTCTGACTCTTCTGAGAGCCATCATCCGGTGTGAGGAGATGGAAGAGCTCAAACAGCTGTTCCAAAAATCCTGAAACCCTTTATTGGCCTCAGCGTAGTCACGGCCACGGGGTTCAACAGCCAGCAACAGCAAATGGACTGGCATTGGGGTTTATTTTGGTTCTCTCCTATCCTAACCACCACGCAAAACGGTTAAAAAGACTAATTTTTAAAAATCTCCAGATAAACTACTGCTCTTAACATTACCATTTCAAAGTGTGCTGGTTCGATACGGCTTGAATTGGTTCCCTGCTGTCCTCCTTGGGTTTGCTCCAAGTCTGTTTATTTTATTTACTGTTTAAGCTATCTTGTTGCAACTGCTGGCCAATTTTTCTCCCTTCTCCCTCTTAAATTAATTGCTACATTTAGATGTTTGCACACTAACTTTTCCCAGAATAAAAGCCTCCCATGCACCAAATAAAAGCACATCAGAATTAAGCTTTAATCCCTGAAATCTATAGAAGAGCTGATGACTCTGCAATAGAATTACAGAGCACAACTTCATGGCAGGGGACCTACAAATATTTCTGTACCATTCTAATTGGGAAGACCTAAACCTGAAGTTAAATCAGCTCTTAAAACAGAAAACTGAAGATGAGCTGTTATGCATCTGCAGCTCTTCAGGCCAGGTGTAGTACTACTGGTGAATTGTTTCAGATTATTTTAACTCCTCTTTATGGCTAAGATGACCACAGTCTAGATGGTGCCTACAGCACGTGGAAGACAACAGGTAGGAAGATGTACCTTTAATTTTACTTCCTTGGCCAGGAATTTCACTGTCTTTTCAAAAAAGATGGAGAACTTTATCATGAAGAGATACGAGGGAAAACAAATGAGACTGGGAAAGCAGGTTCCCTCTTTACAATCCCCATTTGAGAATAAAACAAGACAGTTTTTCATAAATGGCAATGCTGGAAAAAATAACTCCCTCTGAAAGCCTTTTAATGATCCAGCAACTTATTTTTTTCCTTTCAGGTCAGTTCCACTTGGCAATGCTCTTCCTCCATGGAAGACACTCTCATGCACTTTTCTTCAGACTACTCTAGACCCTTTGAGCTCCTATCTGTGAACCTGTGAACCCCAACTCCTTCCATTTCCACACTCAGGTTTTCTCTCACTACTACTCAGTCACCCAGCCAAAAAAACAAGTCCTAGCTGAAAGGTTTAAGGTCAGGCTGGACAGAACGATCCGGGAGGGTTAAAAATTCCTTTTCTCTACCCCTTACACCTCATTTAGGTAAAAATAAAGACCCTTCTTCTATGCAATATTCACCACGTTCCAAAAGCAATATTACACAGGTCTAGGAATTGGCTATATTGATCTTCAAATACAGCTCTAATAAAATTTCTATTCTTCCATTTTAAATAAACCACTAGGATATTTCCTTAAGCCTGTTTTTAAAGATAAACTTTCTCCTCCTCTCCACTCTATTCATCAATCACAGCATGTCACAGAAGATGACAAATGCTTCAATTTTTGAACAGTTGCCACGTTTCACTGCTTCTATCTAGTACTTGGAGGATTAAAACCCCAGGAAAATATGGGATGCCCTGAATGCTACAGAATTAGCACCTCAAAAAGCACACAAACTCTCAATCAGTGCCTCCTCCCTCTGCTGTCACTATTGCTGGACAAAGAGCCCAGGAGGTAAATGTGATATCAAAGGACTGACACAAACCCAGCTGGCACCTGCAGTGCTCAGTATCATCTTAATGCAATACAATCGTCAGGATCATCTTAACACTACATCCTGCAACCTCATTTAAGACCAGTCACTATAATTTGATAGCTGTGACAGCATTGGCAGAATGTAGTTGTTGCTTCCTAACGAATAATTGCTCCTAGAACAGTCCAAAAAATTTGCACGAGCTTGTTCATGCTAATAAACAGAACTGGTCTGAGAAAAATAACCTCTCTGCTTCAGGGGAAGGCACTGTGGGGCTGTGCAGCAGAGCTGTCTGATCACCAGCTTCACACCCACTTGCAGCAGAGTGGCAAGGGGACTGCAAGTCCTGACAGAAGCTCCCTTTGAAGTCTAAGGGTGTCTGCAGCAGAGGATCTGTTCAGAAGCTAGAGGTGTGGCTGCCCTCCCTTCTCACCAGCCACAGCCTATTACTGCTTCCTGTTAGCTACAGCACTAGCAATCACACTTGCTTCCCGGGGTGAATCTGAACAAAAAAAAAAAAGCCTTCTTCCTTCCAAATTTGCTCCCCTCCCCAGTGGAATCTTAGATCTTCAAAGCATGATGATCACCCACCCAACCCAGGCCAACGGTGTCAGCCAAGGCTTGTTTGTCTTGTGTTAGGTACTACACAGAGGGAGCAAAAATCTGCCCCCTAAGGAGTCTGGAATTCCAAAAGGGTAAGAAGTGGCAGAACAGAGACTGCACAGATTAAATCTCCAGGGCTTGTTCACGAGTGCTACTTAAGCGAGACAGCAAACTTCAGTTTTTATCAGCTGGGCAGCCTGAGACAGAAAGAACAAATCAAGCAGTATTTCTAACTAGGTATGTTCCACTTCAGTCTCCTCATTTACATCTCCAAAACTAAGGTGACATTTCCTATGAATAACAGAACTGGTAAAAATGTCATCAGTAGGTAACCGTGCCTGTTACATAAGCCATGGGCTTAAATGGTTCAAACAAGTTTATGGTTCTAATAATAGCATTTCGTAATTAATGAAGATAATCAGGCTCCTAGCTACCTGACAAGAGTTCACCTCAGGATTTTCTCCACTATAGCATCACCCCTCAGATCTAGGTGTAACTGAGGTGGATATTTTTGGCTAGAGGAATCTGGCTGTGAGACAAACATCTGGGAAGTTAAATCTAGAGAAACACTGTAAAATCTTGTAACTACTGAAATTTGAAATGGAAAACCACAATAAGCTCATCAAGTGAATACAGAGTAATATAAACCTGTGTCTATCCAAGGAGATCTTTTCATAGCTTAGTAACATGAGCAAAAAGAAAGAGATCTAAGGCAAACCCTTATGCAGATGACTTTTTGTACCTATGGGCATGGAAGGCTATAGAGAGAACCCTAAACCAGGTCAAAAAGCACAGGGTCAGCAGGATGATTTACAGTTTTATCTATAGGTCCTTTTAGAAAGGAATAACACCTCCATCCACAGCTTTAATAGGTCAGTTCATCACACAACAGAAGGGGAGTGCTGGTCTGGTGGAAAGATGAGCCAACTGGAGAGGACACAACAGCTTCACTCTGGTCACAGACTCCTGGGGACTTTTAGCCACAGTGTGAACAGCGTCGGCAGCCACCCGTGTGAAACATGGCAACTGTCAAGAATTTAAGAGTTACCTCTAACATCTTTCTTTGTTCCATACATACGAAGTTTGAAGCAGATCTTTTATGATCTTTCTGCCACTGCTATCAAACACGCCCATTTGCTTATTATATCCCTCCTGACACTTCAAATAAAACAAAGGAACAATCCCCAAAGCTTCTATAATTCACATACATAAAAAAAATTATTTGATGGTATGATACATAAAGATTAGGGAAGTTGAAAGTTTGAGATGTGTAAAATATTTCTTTAAACCTAATAAAAAATAAATCTCTTCAGTAGTACAAAGATAAAGGTGGCATTTACATGCATAACTAGTTTTTCTCTTCGCTCAGAAAAAAACCCAAATACAGGATCTGCAAGACCAGATCAAAATTAGGGAGAAAAAAAAGGAAAAAAAAGTTCCTCAATTCAACACTTTTTTTTAATGTGTGTGCAAAAAACTTACTGTAATAGGAATTGAGTAAACTTTCTGGGATTCCAGTAAATGTTAAATGCTGGAAACAACTTGAAGACTATATTCTGAATGAAACTTTGTGTTCCACAAACAACAATTTCCCTAGCAACAATGCAGGCAGCAAATTTGAAACTGCTTTGAAAGCAAGTGTTTTAATGTTATACCATACTAAATTAAAAGGTTACCCTGCTCTTTCAAAGAAATTTGTTTACTCCAGAGGTAGACTCTTAAGAGCAAAGAAATGAGCTGTAGCATGGTGGTCACGGTGACATGGTGTGCTGGGAAATGTCTGCACATTTCTGTGTTCTAAGTGATGGACGCATTTTCAAACTGTCCCTCTGGCACTCTCCCAGAAGTCAGCAGAAAAAATGATAGCTGCTGTCTCAGTTTAACCCAAAATGCAGCATCCAGATCTGAAAGTAAGCTTCCACCTGCTGGATGGAGACACCAAAGGCATGGTACACCCAGTATGCCCCCTTGCCCCTACCACCTTGAAGAGAGAGCTGAACTACTGTAATTTAATGATTTTCATCATCCTCTAGTGGCCTTCTACACTCAAGAAGGCTGCATACCCCACCTCAGTCTTCTGCTGACTACACAAACTGGAGTCCTCTCAGCCTCTCTAAGCCAGTCACGTTTTCTAAATCTCTGTTATATTTTCCTGTTCTCCTCTGGTTTATTTACCTTTGCCTTTGTTTAGTGACAACCGTTAACTAACAGCAAAAATAAGAACTCAGTGACACAGAGCTTCAAAGAAAGGGTATTTTGACACCTATTATGCCTTCTGCAGAGCAAACTAATCAAGGAAAGATGCCTGAAATTTAGTCAGACAATACTGTACCCAGACAAAAAAATATTCGTGACTATTAGGGAATTTTATTTTGTCAATACTGCTATGTATGATGTAAAATTTTTAGTGAATAGTAGGAGTCCTAGTTCCAATAATAATAATATGCTAACATTGTCAAAAAAATGAAATACAAAGTTTTAATTCAATTTAGAAAATCCTACAGAACTAACAATTTCTTTGCCTTTCAGCTGCTGTTCTGCTGTCACTAGAAGCCTCTGTTCATCTCCCTTGCCAAGAGCCAATGTGCCAGCCAATCCCAAAATTTAATAAAAGATTAAACTGAAAAGTTAAACTGAAGTCTGAAATATTTAGTTGCTTGTCCACTGAAGAGTATCCTTTAGTATGCAATACTTAATGAATCTGCCCCAATACTACCTCAGATTTTTATTTCTTCTCAGACCTCTTCTAAGTAGCTGAAATTGTAACTAAGGAAGAAGAGAATCAGCAAATTAAATGTGAAACATAGTTCAAAGGAAGTATGGGGAGCTAAAAGGCTCTTTACTTCCAGATTTGAGCTCAAGCTTAATTCTCTCCCCATTACTTAAAGCAAATGTTTTGCTTTCCAGCACACAGTTTATGCCAACACTTACTATTGAGTAGCTACTGAAATAATTTACATGAAGTATAGTTTATGTGAAGTTTTCCCCCAATTTATAGACAATCATGATAAAGAATATCACAGGTTCTCACCAGAAGTGATAGAGGTAATGAGTATGGCTTTCTGAAGGCCATCAAGAAATCTTTTAAAAAACATATGAAGGCTCAAAGTACCTGCAGCTGACATTGCTTTAGCTTGTATTCATGCTCTTGGTTGTAAACCAGGACAGCCCACACTATGGGCACAGAGAAACCTCACACAAACATGGCACAGAGACAGATGTCTCTGGCTGTACAAGGTATACTTTTAGTAGTACTGCATGCTCAAATTAGAAGACTGAGCTAATACAACTATGCTAGTTTTGAATTTTTAGACAGGAAGCAACAAAATACTTAGATGGAGACATCTACCAAACAATAATTTGTCTTCATGGAATGGCCCTACAATTGAAATAATAGGTGCAGAAAAGCCCTAATCACAAATGCAGATTTGGTTCTTCTTTTTTGGTTTTAGCTTTTGAAAGATGTATTAGGGAATTATTAAACTCTGTCAGCTCCTCAAAATCAGCCAAAGTATAATTAAATTTTGAGTGCTTTAACTATGAATCCTCTGGCCTCAGCATACATGAAAGGCCTTTCAGTATAATTTTAAATTTGAACTTTCAGAATTAGAATGATCCCTAATCAGCATTATTCATGTCCCTCTGATGTCATCAAGGCTCCATTTACAAAGCACATGAGCTGCTGACTTAACCCTCTCTGTTGTGTATCATATTCTTAACAATTAAATACAACTTTCCCTTATTACAGCCTAAATAATCTACGTGGAGAAAAACTACGTTAAAATGGGGGCTTAACCAACAGTTTAAAGAACCTATACTATGACTCAACTTAAAGTAGAACAAAACCAAGCAGCGCAAGGATCCCATTGGAAATTACTTTTAAAACCCAATCTAAAATGACCGACTCTGCAATTCACAAGAATTATTGTACCTCGTAGCACTGTAAATTTGAGGAGGATGGCTGACTGGGAAGACGTGAAAAGCGACACTGAAGCCTGAAATATTTACTTGCCTGCCTACTGATTAGAAAACCCTGGACACTAGGGACCACAGCTGCTGAATTCCAGTGTAAATGCCACTGCACTTCACTAACAGACCGAGGGAAGCGTGTCACTCGGCAAGGCTTCTTGGAGGGAGAAACGCCCTTTGACTAGAGATCGAGCAGCTCTTAGCTGTCACTCCTGTTAACCCAGCTGAGCCCCACTTACCGAGGATTCACTGTCTCTAACCAGGAAGTCTCCTTCCACGCCCCGCTCGTTCAGGGCACACTCTGCTTGGTGCCGGGTGACATTCCCATAATACCACTCTCTTCCAGCAAACCGCCCGGTGGAAGATGGTCCCGTGTAGCTTATCTGAGGCGGATGGGAAGTGTTCATGGTAGGGCCATCGCTAATGATTACTACATAGTTTTTAGGAACAAGCCCAATTTGCCCTCTGGAATTTTTACATTTCCACCACTCTGGGTCGTTTTCTGGCTTTTCGATGACTTCCATTGTCTCCCCTTTTTCAAAATTGAGCTCTTCTTCTGTGACGGAGCTGAACGGATACAGTGTCTGAACAACGTGGAGTACTTTGGTGCCCTGGCCGTTACTCATGGAGGCGCCTTTCCTCAAGCTGAGGAAGCTGGGGGAATCCGCGCTCGCCTCCTCCACCTCCTCCACCACATAGTTCGAAGGAAACCAGCCGATCTGTCCGTTGTAGCTCCCCCTCCACCAGCCGTCGCTGCACTTCTCCATGACGATCACCCGGGAGCCCTTCACCAGGGAGAGCTCGTCCTCCCGCTCGGCGCCGTAGGCGAACTTGACGTAGGCCGGGATGTTCAGGTCGTAGATGCGGTCGGCGCCGCTGCCGTTGGAGGGGTACTCTGCGTCCGTGCTGGGCGTGGGCGAGGCGTCCCTCGCGCTCGTCTTTCTCTTGGTCTTGCCCAAACCTGTGGGAGAGAGAAGCGTGAAGCCGTCACTCGGGATGCTGCTGGGCGCCGCGCTGCTCTGCTGCTACAAGGGAGAGCTCTGCTCTAGCACTACACGCTCAGGAGCCCGTAACTCCTGCCACAGGTCTGCTTCAACAGCCAACTGATGCACCATTAGTTAAGGAGCAATCTGCATTTTATTCGCTCTCTTCTCTTCACAAAGTACCAGTTTTAACACACTTAAACCCAGCGGTTTCTTCTCTTCGCTACGAGAAGAGCTCATCGCTGGAAAGATTGCACAGCTTGCTGTTATGTCTCTTAAAAGTCCAGCCAAATGATCATGCCTTTTAATTTTAGTGATGACTTTAATTTGGCTCAAGCAAAACATGAAAGAAAATCTACCAAAATAAACTCACACAGCAAGAGAAGCTCTAGTTTCCCTGCAGATTATGTTTTGCACTCCTCATTCTACAGTCAGTCCCCAGGCAGCTACAGCTGCAACTCCTTCCAACTGCAACCCCCACTTTGAAATCCACACCTCTTTCATCTACATTTCATCACCTACTACAAAAGCATAAACCTGATGGTGAGGAAGACCATTTGCATACCTTCCCCTATAATCTGTAAATTCTGATGTACCATCGGGGCTTTAATTATAGCATAAAATACAACATGCAGAAGAAACAACAATAACATTAAACACAGAGTCTTTTTTTTTTTTCCTTAATTAGAGGAACCATGCTAATATCTTTTTAAACATGGAGGAAAAACTGCACAACACACTTGGTGTATTTTTCAAACTTTTGCAGCAAGGCCTGCTTCAGTTTATATATCAACAGAAAGTTGAAGTGAACAAGCAGCCCTCTCCTGTGAAATTCACTTATAAGAAGTTCTGAAGAGAAAACAGAAGATCAAGTCTCAGCATGGAACAAACCAAGCGACAACCCAAATGTCATGCAGCGGACAAAAAGCAAAAACCAAGACAGAAATAGGAGCTTTTGTACTTTTCTCCATGCTCCTAGAGCCTTGCTGACAGGTGAAAGACTCACTTCAGCCATGAGTACATGCTGACTATGGCAGACTGAACGGAGGAAAACTTTTTTTAAAAGAAAATAAATTAAAAAAAAGGGACTTTGCTTTTGCTTCTTCAAATAATCTGATAGAAGGAGATGCATGCTATTACATTTTTAACAATTCAGGACTATTTAGCCACACCACTGTTGAAAAGTGTGTTCATTTGTAAAAAATATACACACACACATATATATGCACATGCCTATACAAGGAGTATCTTCAGCAAAGCTGTTTGTTCAGTGCAGAACTTCCCAGGTTTATTGCACAGGGTTAGCTGTACAGCACAAACAGCCACACTGGGATTGCCCACTAGAAGGGTTAAATACATTAATTAATGAAGTCCCAGGGTCTCAGAAGATGGTAGAAAATTCCAATGATTCTAAAGAGTTTCCTGACCTTCCCCTGCAGCTCCTTGCTTCCTGCTGGAGCCTGCTTATATCCTAATGGCATTCTAACGACAGCACTTCAGCCGGGAGCCCTGGGCTGCACTTTCAGGCAAAACGAGGGAGAGCAGCTTATTGTACTAGGGCAGACAATTGCAGGAAAAGTGTGTCCAAGCAAGCACTAATCGGAAGCTGGCCAGGCTCTGATCTCTGCCAAGAATGGAAATTTTCATCAGTTTAGAGTTCATTTTCAACCAAAAGACAAGGACGTAACAGAACGAAGCAGCATTAAATTAGGGTGATATGAACAAATACAGCTTAAGGGTCGTTCTGTTCAGACAGGGGGAAAATTACTTGTTATAACTTCATGGAAAAAAAACAACTGCATTTATAGATTCACCCTACACAAAGCCCTACACTGATTGAACCTTCCAGATTAAAAGCTTAGGTTTTGATGTGCTTTGTAACAGAGACATGCAGCACCACTTCTTGGAATTACAGCACAAGAACAAATAAAACAAGAAAAGCCCAGCCAATAATGCAGCAGCTGGCCAGAAGAAAACTAGTTGAAAATCAGAGCAGAGAGATAACTGTGAGATATGGGGATGCAGTGTGATAAGAGAATGCCACAAACTGAACTATCTAGAGAAATAACTGTTGATAAACAGGTGAAGGAAAGAAATTGCTCAAAAAAAAATTCTGAAGTCTGATAAAGGTGCCTAAACATTTAGCAGGTTATCATCCAAGCACTTTCTTTCACTTGAGAGTTTCTTAAGTTGCATCTTTTTCCATAAACCTTCCAGTACTGTGTCTGATGTTTTAAACGTTCCTTTCTATCCTCCTCATTCAACACAACCCATAACAACAAGTGTGTGTGGGGGGAGGGGGGAATAGAAATTTCATTTATTTTCCTTAGCAATAAAGGCAGTCTGAGCTCTTCAGTTTAGGCTTAACATTTAATACAGCCAACTTTTGAAGGCTGATAACATGGTAATGATTGGCCTTTTGCAATAGCAGCGACGTGTACCGAAGTTTTTGTTTCCAGCTGGTTTGACCAAGGCAACTATGTAGAGAGACCCATCTGCAGCCAAGCACAGTGAAGAGCATGCACAACCTTATCTAACACTTTTTTTTCCTGTAAGGTTACAACATTCATAACTGTGTCTATGACAAAAGAGGAAACAAGTTGTTCCATGAACAGAGCAAAGGAAGTCTGTTCCTGTTTTTCTCCTTCCACACTGCTCCTCTCTCTGTCTCTGCAGCCAAGCACAGTAAAGAGCATGCACAAACCTTATCTACCCTTTTTTTTTCCTGTAAGGTTACAACATTCATAACTGTGTCTATGACAAAAGAGGAAACAAGTTGTTCCATGAGCAGAGCAAAGGAAATCTGTTCCTGTTTTTCTCCTTATACCTCCTTCCACACTGCTCCTCTGTCTCCTCCATCTCCTGCAGGATCCACAATAAGCCCCCTTACCATATGACTGCCTTTGCATCCCTAGGTCCTTCTCATCCCTCCACCTCCCCTGGTTGCCCTCCCTACCTTTGCTGGGCTGGCCCAAGCACGGTGCCTGGCGCCCCGCTGCCTTTCAGCCCTGCTTGGACCCAGCAAAGAGCTGGAGTTGCTCTGGCTTCTCCTCCAGTGAGGGATAGCAGCAGTGAATGACCCTCCCAGGCACCACGTTACAGAAAACTAGTTAGTTTATCTCTGCCAGTCTGTCAAGTTTGCTTTAAATTGGCTATCAAGGGTGGACAGATGGACGGCTGATGACAGCTGACTGTGACAGCATGACTGGTGTGAGCTTCATTTCCTTAGGAAACAAGTCTAAAAATACAATGTAGTGATATGGCTGGTCATAGCTAAGCAACAATAAAGTTAAGACAATTATAAAATTTGTATGCATCTATGACAAAAGTTTCAACTCCATTATAAAAAAGTACCATCTACATGAGCTGTCTCTGGAAGAGTTAACACTGCCACTACTTGCTACTAACAGAAACAGTCTGTTAGTAAAAGAGTTAGAAATATCCCCTATTCTTATGACTGAATGGAATGAAACCCATGTAAGGAATTTCATGGAAAATAAAATATTCAAGCACTTTGGCAGTCACATTCAGAAGAGTCAAATATAGTTGTGTATACTTTTATTGTCTTTAATGAAAATTTATCTCCTGGTGAAACACAACTGTATTTTCCCATTCTGACTCATTGGTTACAGGTCACCAGAAGCTGTAATCCTTTGTAATACAACTAGTTGTTGTAAGGAGAAACACAAAGCAATGGATTAGCTTTCAAGGGATGGGAAAGGAGTGGGAGCAAAAGCATTGCAAAGCAGCAGAAAGCCTGCTTTATATTAGGGTGTCTCAGAGGAAACAACACTTTGCAATCCACAGCTGACCCACACTACACTAGTTCATTTTCATTCTTACAAACAGGTTGCCAAATAATGCGAGTAGGTTTAAATTTCCAGGTGGATATATTGCTGAGATAAAAAAAAAAAAAAAGGTTTTAGCATCATTTCCAGAGAAGGGATCCACTGCAAATCCTCCTCCCCCTCTCTGCAGTGAAAGAAGGCTGCAAGGTTAGTCTTGGGGAAACTCAGAAACATGCCTCCTGCATTACTCCCTGTCCTCTTCCTCTCCTTGCTCAGCTGAGGCTCTAAAGAATAGCTTGTTTTGCAAGCAGCAGGCTGAAGGAAGACCAGTTTCCTATGCATTGGCTTCCTGTCTCTTAAGCTCTTGTGCAAACCCAGCTTTGCACCCTTTCCTCACCGAGATGCCCCCATGATGTCCTTCCCGCCGTACCTGCAGGTCCTCCGCCTGCACTTCCAGGAACCTCTTCTCCCTGCAGCACCTCCAGCCTTCCCACCTCCTGCTTCTTAAGCTCCCCCAGGGAAATGTCTTGAGGTCCCCCAAACCCCAACCCTCAAGGTGGTGGGATCTTCTGGTCACACCCTTTTGGCCCAGTGTTGTGATAGCCAGTCCTTTACCCGTGTCTTCTCCCCCAAGGCTGGCCTGTCAGACAGCACAGCTGAGCCGAGTGCCCAGCCCCTCCTGCTAAAACCCAAACCACTTCTCTCTCCTCCTGCCTTCAGTGAAGGCACTGCAACAATGCTGCTTAGCTAGCACCTTAATGGACACTGCTGCTCAGCATGAACAAGTTTCATCACCTCTAAGACTTCAACATAATACATACTTTATCAAATACATATGACACTTGTATAGAACAGGAGTTTCTTGCCACTACTAAAAATTCATGGTTTATTTGCTAATTATGGCTTATATTACTTATTATATTTACTAGAAAAACAGACAAAAAACACATTTACAAACCAGGTTATCTTTTCCTAATTTTAGGAAGACTTATCTGATGAGTCTTTCCATGCCCCTGCACACTGGTGTCCTTGCTTGAGAATGATGAGTGACAACATTCTGTATTTTAACTGGTTTGGCTCGTCCCCAGAGCTGAAAAGACAGATTTGCTGCTGTGGCTGTTTAATGCATCCCTGCAGGCTGATCTGCACTCACAGTTATTTTATTAAGCCCTGTTTAAGAATAATATGTACTAAACACTGTAGGTATTTGCAAACTGTCTACCATCCTCCTCCCAGTACTGGTCCCTAAATTTATTACATCTCATATGTAGCTTATACTTAAAGAGACTAAACACAGTTGCATTTCTTTCCCAAAGGAATTTTGAGACCTCAGATTACTGAACATCCAATTCTTCCATCTTCTGTATACAAAGAAAGGTCAGTCAATACCCCAAAACAATTTCTGAAAAACAGTTGCCAAGTGAAATTAGTGTAATCTGAATTCTCCCAGCCTCTCTTTTCTAGAACCTTCTCTGATTATACTATATAAATCATGAGCAAAAATATTTTCTGTAGCTTACTTGCACATAAAATCAAATTAACAGGACAAAAAACAAACAAAAAAAACCCAAAAGCAACCAAAACACCTTTCAGAAAAAAAGGTGCAAGACAAGAAAACTCTATTGTTTTGAGAAATCATAAAGGCAACACTAAACATTGTTCAAAACCCAGTTCTTCAATTCAGAACTCCACAAAAGAGACCATGCCACTAAATATGCCAGACACAACTGTACAAGAGCCACCTAACAAGTTCTTATGAAAATATCAAGAGCTATTAAGGAAGGACACCCATCTCCAAAATAAGTGACTTT